GGTCACCTGGTCAGAGGCCAATCTCTGTGTTCCCTGCTGGCTGCTCTCAGGTGACAGCCCCCATTCTTTGGGTGTGTCCTTCGCCCATCAAGTGCCATTGTCCTACAGGGCCTGGCTACTCAGCCTGTCCATAACAATGCTTACCCACATTCAGAGAAATATTCAGCTTCCACACAGATTACAGATTCCTACCTACACACACAGACATTATACACTCACATAAATAGCGTACATAAGATCAACAAACAATAAGCTCCCATTCAATACCCCACATGGCTCCCTTTTATACCAATTTCTGGGGCCAACACCCCCACCTAGAGGTGCAGCAGTGATCTGGCTGCTTCCCTCCAATTCAGTAATGTGACAGGGGGATTGTCCTCGCCGTTCTCCCCTGGGGAGACGGGGCCTCCTGCGCTCGGATTTCATACACACATAGAACCCCCAGGCTGGCAGAGACCTCAGGAGGCAGCGAGTCCAGCCCCTGCCCAAAGCAAGACCAGCCTAACTCAATCATCCCAGCCAGGGCTTTGTCCAGCAGGGACTGAAACACCCCTAGGGATGGAGATTCCACCCGCACCCTAAGGAACCCAGCTCAGCACTTCCCACCCGCCTAGCGAAATCATTCATCCTAATCACCAATCTTGACCTTCCCATTGCCGCTTGTTCTGCATCTGTCACCCCTGAGAACAGCCTCTCTCTTGCCTCTTTGCAACCCCCTTCAGGAAGTTGCAGGCTGCTCTCAAATGCCCTGTAGAAACCATTTTATGTTTAGCTAGAAGCCATCTTGTAGAATAGAAACCATTTCAGCTTTTTGCTTTTGCACGAAGGCCAGAGTGAACTTTCTATCACCCCACGTGCCAGGCCAAGACAGATGTGCTATTGGAATGTGTTCATTGGGCTAGTTCAGATAGGAGATGCACTCCCTCGTACCTGTCCGCCATCTTGTTGATACGGCTTTATTTTTCCTAGTTTAATTGATGATTTCTGTAATTGGAGACCCTGACGTCAGAATTCATCCTAATCACCAATCTGGACCTTCCCATTGCCGCCTGTTCTGCATCTGTCACCCCTGAGAACAGCCTCTCTCCTGCCTCTTTGCAACCCCCTTCAGGAAGTTGCAGGCTGCTCTCAAATGCCCTGTAGAAACCATTTTATGTTTAGCTAGAAGCCATCTTGTAGAATAGAAACCATTTCAGCTTTTTGCTTTTGCACGAAGGCCAGAGTGAACTTTCTATCACCCCACGTGCCAGGCCAAGACAGATGTGCTATTGGAATGTGTTCATTGGGCTAGTTCAGATAGGAGATGCACTCCCTCGTACCTGTCCGCCATCTTGTTGATACGGCTTTATTTTTCCTAGTTTAATTGATGATTTCTGTAATTGGAGACCCTGACGTCAGACTGTTTGGCTAAGGGTATAAAGACACTAGGACTGATTGTGTTAGCAGCCTTACTGGGCCCGGCTCTGCTGGGACCACGTTTGGCTCACTTGGCTTTACTGATCAATAAAGCTGTCTGCTTAGCCACGTAAACTGAGTGAGGCTTTTGCTTCGACAGCCCCCTCACTCTTCTCTTCTGCAGACTCAACAAACCCAAATCCCTCAGTCTCCTCTCGCGGGTCGTGTGCTCCTCCCCTTCCTCATTTTGGTTGCCCTTCACTGGGCCCTCTCCCATGCGTCCACATCCTTCCTGTAGTGGGGGGCTCAGAACTGGACACAATACTCCAGATGTGGCCTCTCCAGAGCCGAATAAAGGGGAACAATCACTCTCTAGAATTGCTGGCGATGCTCCTCCTAATGCACCCCAATATGCCATGGATCTGCTGGCGATGCTCCTTCTCATGCCCCCCAATATGCCATTAGCCTTCTTGGCTACAAGGACATCCAGCTTCTCATCCACTGGAATCCCCAAGTGCTTTTCTGCAGAGCTGCTACTTAGCCAGTCGGTCCCCAGCTTGTAGCAATGCCTGGGACTCCTCTATCCGCAGGGCAGGACTCTGCACTTCTCCGTGTTGAACCTCATTGGATTTCTTTAGGCCCAGTTGTGTCGGTCACTCTGGACCATTTCCCTGCCCTCCAGTGTATCTGCCCTTCCCCCAAGTTCTGCAATAGAGGGACGGACAACTCTGGCGCAAAACCAAGTAATGCCGGGTGAGATCCCAGCTGGGTCAATGGGCCGTAGCTCCATTACAATCAATGGGGCTGCAGAGAAGGCTCAGCACTGATGGATCCTGTTGCCTTTGCTTCTCTAGGGACCAGTATTTCCTGTGAGGTCTGCGTCGGCGTCCACAAGAGCTGTACAGGCCCTGTGCAAGTCTGCAGCAAGGAATTGGATTCTTGTGGGATCATTAAAGCAGAATCAGTAGTAGGTAGGTGCAGAGACCTTGCACCATCCCAGAACACAGGCTGGGTCGGTGTCAGCCCACCCAGAACCAGGGCCTGGTGGGTTAGAGCAGGGGGCCTGGGAGCCAGGACTCCTGGGTTTTCTCTATGTCTCTATGAGAGGCATGGGGCTGGTGGGTGGAGGGGAGAGGCTGGGGGAGTCTCTCATTGGTCCTGGCAGGGGTGTGGTGTCTGGTGGGTTAGAGCCGAGGAATCAGGACTCCTGGGTTCTCTCCCTGACTCTGGGAGGAAATAGAAATCCAGTGGGTGAGGGGCAGCTGTGGGCACCAGTCCTGCTGGTTCTCTCGTGCCTCAGTTTACCACTCTCTAGATAGATCATAATCACATCTCTGACGTGTTCAAGGGTGAGACAGAGACGTGAAGTGTCATCTCCTCTTCCTCCCATGCAGGGAATATAAAGACCCCGATGTTTACGAAGGCCTGCGTGTCCTCCAGCCAGTGCAACCTTGCGCCCCTCTACATTACTTTTGGGAACGGGATCTCTATAAGCTCGAATGTCGCCTGCTGTGTCGGGGAGGCCTGCAAAACAGCCACTGTTAGCGGTACAGCGCCTGCCTTAGTCTCCAGTCTGTTCGCTCCCGCGCGCCCCCTGCCCTGCCTGGCCCCTTCAGGCCTCCCTGTGGGAAGAGGGAACAGGATTAGGAAAGAACCTTTATATCCCTGCCCTGCAGGGGGCGCCCCATTGGGTAACCCTGAACACCTCAGTGGTGGGAGGTTGGTGGGCAGAGCTCTAGTTTTTCGAACTGGATCCAGGATTCCCTGCTGCAAACATCCCCCTGCCCCTGCTACCTCCTGTGCCCCAGAGCTGCAGCGCCCCCTGCAGTGGGATCCGGGGCTGAGCAGTGCAGCCCCCAGCTGCTCTCCCTGTCCCACCGCCTCCTGGGGCTCGTCCCCAAAGCTGACTGTGTTTGCTCCACTTTTCCTAGTGCCCCCGGCTAACACCACCCTCAACGGCCGGCGCTGCCCAGCCTGCTACTCTGCGTTCTCCCATGACTGCAACGAAGAGATCATCGACTGCACAGGCACCCAGACCCACTGCCTGCATCTCAGTGGCACAGCGAAAAGCGGTAATTGCCATCCTGCTGTTCCTCTGTCCGATTTCCCCACCCAGGAACCACCACGCACATAGGCAGACCCCTGCAGCAGGGAACGCTAAAGAGATCTTTAGATAAAACATTGGAAGGGAAAGTTGTTTTGAATTTCAATCATGAACCAGTCTGATTTTTCCCAGAGTTTGTTCTCATGGGGGTCTCTTCCGACTGAAAGAATCTGGCAAATTTGAATTCACAAAATGTGTTTAGATTTCTACTTTTAACTGTAGAAAGATTTCAGCTGGAAAATCTCAACGCAGCAAAGAATTTCTGAGCACTCTGGCATAAGAGAGGCGATGAAATGGAAAAGGGAGATGTGCACTCTGATTAAAATAAATGCTTTTCCCAGCCAATAACCCATTGATCTGTGGAACTCCCCACCATTGGAAACTGCTGTGGTCAAGAGCTATGTATAATTCTAAAAGATTCTTGCTTATCAGGAAGAGCTGGAGTGATCATACTGAATGATCAGAAAACTGCTGAGCCTTCTTTTTTCAGGTCTCACACTGATTTCTAGCTATTAGCCATATCCCTCATATCGGTGGTTTGGATACCTTTCTGTGCAGCATCTAGTGCTGGCCGGTGATTGAGGCAGGACCCCACTCTCAACAGAAAACCCACTGACTCCTACAGTTACCTACATGCTTCCAGCTCCCATCCAGCACACACCATACGATCCATCGTCTATAGCCAAGCCCTTCGATACAACCGCATCTGCTCTAATCCCACTGACAGAGACCAGAAACTTCAGGATCTCTACCAAGCATTTATAAACCTCAATTACCCACCTGCAGAAATAGCCAAATTGAAATAGCAAATTGAAAGAGACAGACGAATACCCAGAAACCATCTACTTCAAGACAGACCCGAGAAAACAAACAATAAAACACCACTTCTCATCACCTACAGCCCCCAACTTAAACCCATCCAACGCATTATCAATAAACTACAGCCTATACTGGAACAGGATACTACCCTCCGAGAGGCTCTGGGAGACAGACCCATAGTCTCCTATAGAGAGCCACCTAACCTCAGGATGATTCTTACCTACAACCACAGGACATACCCCACTAACACCAACCCTGGAACTGTCCCTTGCAACAAACCCCGGTGTCAGCTTTGTCCACATATTTACTCTGCTGACACCATTATTGGACCTAACCAATTCAGTTATAAGATCAAGAACACATATTCCTGCACATCCAGAAATATAATTTATGCCATCATGTGCCAACAGTGTCCGTCTGCTATGTACATTTGACAAACGTCTCAGATACTTCGCCAAAGAATCAATGCCCACAAAAGTGTCACAAAGAAAAAACAGTTTCTTGCCATTTCAACCAGAGAGGGCATTGTCTCAAGGACTTGACTACCTGCCTCCTGCTTCAAAGGCATTTTACCACAAGACTTCAAAGAGAAACCTCTGAACTGTCATTCATACTTCAATTTGACACTTTACGACTGGGTCTGAACAAAGATGCTAATTACCTTACCCATTACAAAGATAGCATCCCTAATTATCACCTCTAATATCATTAGCTCACAGACATTAACCCCTCCCCTCCATCACCCTGTGTTCTGAAATTTGGTTTGTCCTTTTTATATGTGTTCACTTTTTTCATTGTATCCCTTTGGTATATATCGTCGTGCCAATTTTCTTCCATAATTTGATCTGAGGAAGTGCGTCTGGCCCACGAAAGCTCATCACCTAAGAAACCATCTTGTTAGTCTTTAAAATGCTGCATAGTCCCGTCTTTTGTTTCATCTAGACCAGACTAACACGGCGGCATCTTTATTACTAGCACCATCAGTGAGCAACACCATTGCCAGGTGAATGGTGGGACTAACATTGGCCTGTTAGAGTTTGTTAGAGATCCGGGATTCACTGAGGAAGGGGACCGTGTGGGAGATAGAAAAGGTTTCCCAAAGGGATTCCCAGACACTGAACCTCTTGTTTTGTCCCCCACAGGTCAGACAACTGTGAAGACCACCATGAAAGGCTGCGCCAGTGAGTCTGCCTGCATTAATATGCAGCAGCTCAAAGGGACATTCGGGGGGATCGATGCGCATTTCACCACGGCTGAATGCAGCCCAGTCTCCTCCCGCGTAGACACTGTGGCTCCGGAAGGAGCTGGACTCATCTTCTCAGCCCTCCTAACCGTCCTGCTGGTGAACATCGTCTCCTGATTGCCCTCCTGCGACACAGCCCCGCTGCCCTGGGCAGCCGCACTGCTGTGGCAGGGCTCAGATTCGCTTCCGCTGTAATGGGATGAACAGAATAAAACAGACACAAGAAAACTGCAAGAGAGCAGGTGTCTGGGTGACTGGGTGGGGGGAGAGGGACTGATTCTTGGAAAGTGTGTGTGTGTGTGTGTGTGTGTGTGTGTGTGAATAGTGAATCTCAGATATTGTGTCTTCCCGTGTGTGATAATGAGCATTAGATTCTGTGGCTGTGTCTACACTGCAGACTCCTTTTGGAAGAAGGTTTTCTGGAAGAGATTTTTGGGAAAAATTTCTTCCGAAAGAGAGCAGCCACACTGCCAAAGTGCATTGAAACGTGATCTGCTTTTTGCAGAAGAGGCTCTTGCACCAGAAGGAGCTGTCTACACTGCCCCTTCTGGTGCAAGAAAAACCCTCTTGTGCAATGCCGTTATCCCTGAAAATAATCAGCAAAGTGGCATTGCGCAAATTTTTTCTAGTGCAAGAAGGGGCAGCGTAGAGGCTCCTTATGGCACAAGAGCCTCTTCTGCAAAAATGGCAGCTCATTAGGTATGCAAATGTGGCTCGGTGATTGTCATGATTATGAGGGTTAGCCAGCGGCCTGGGGATTAAGGGGTTAACTACACCTAGCCAGGTGGAGAGGCCAATAGGAATGTAGGTGGGGCTTTCCAACTGGGACAAAGGAATTGGGGTTTTTCCTCCTTTGTCTCTCTGGGCCAGTCCTCTGCAGCTACAGAGAGAGAGAAACACGTCTCTCTCCCTCCAAGACATAATTCTCCACTTTCTGTATGTAGGGTAAAGTTTGGATAATTTCGTTAGGCTTTATTGTTTAAGGGTTGGGTATGGGAGCTGCGATCTGGCACTGCTTAAGAGATGTTTGGCTTTTCTTTGTAACTAAATTCTAGCCCATGGTGCAATTCCTCCATGAGTATATTTTGTTACCATCCCATCAAATCATTATGCTTGCAACAAGAATATTGTTTTAATAATAAAAGTTTTCTCTTTTCTTTTTATTAACCTGGTAGTGGTTAATTGTGGGCCCTGATTTTTATTTTAGGGGTGAGTTTTCCCAAATGATCTTTCCCGTAATCTCGCTATTAATATTTGGGTGGTGGCAGCAGAAGTGCTATTCCCAAAATCTAGGGTTTTAAGATTTGGGGGAAGTTTTATACCAAAGCCTGGTCGATAAGGCTTTGGGGTAGACTTGCTGGCCCCCACTTCTGCATTTATCGTGCCAGTGACAATGATATTCCTCTCTTAGCCTCATTTGCACATTTCTGGCCGAGAACCCGCCAGTGTAGACGTAGCCCTAATGTGGGTTTCTGGCAGGGCCGCCAGCCAGGGCTGGAAGCCCCCCAGGGTTAAAGCCGCCATCTGGGGATGCCAGATCCTCCTGCACAAAGCAGCTCCTGGAAACATGCCCTGGGCCGGGAGTGAACCTTGAACGTGGGTGGGGGATGGCAGGGGGACGAACACAGACGTGTTGAACATTGCAAGTATAGGAGACACATCTGCAGCCCTGCAGTTTTGCAGCTCCCTATCCTGCTTTGCAGACTCCAGCAGAGGGGGCCAAAGGCCTGGGTCCAGGGTACAGTGGTGGTGCTGTGAACCATTCCAGACTTTCCCAGCCTTTAAAAAAAAAAAAGAAAAAAAGAAAGAAAGAACCCCTTTAAAAAAGAGAGAGATTTTCCTGATAAACAGCTGGCATCTACAGCGATGGCTCCATTGTGCCACGTGCTGCCCCCCATCTACAGGCACCGAGCCCCCAGCTCCTACTGGCCACGGTTCCCTGTCACTGGGAGCTGCAGGAGCGGTGTCTGCACTCAAGGACGGCACGTGGAGACCCCCTGCTCTGCCTCTCTCAGGGGCCACAGGGACAGGCCAGCCACGTCCAGGGGCAGCAGTGACCACGGGGTGATGACTCCAGCCACGGCAGGTTCTGCATTTGAGAACTCACCAATCACAGAAATAAACGTAAGTGTAAGAGAGAAATGAACGTGATGAAATCCCCAGAGCAGCCAAACCCCCAAACCACCCCACTCTGCAAGCAGGGACAGAAGTAACCACGACCCCCCACGTATGTGGTGTCGCAGAAAAGCCTCCGCCTGGACTATTGCTTGATGTCCACCTACATTTTCTGGAAGTGCACTAAACTCTAAGGTCCTGCCAATACATGACTCAGGGTATGTCTACACTACCCCGCTAGTTCGAAC